ACACCAAAAAAAGCTATTAACAAGCGTTAAGGAGAACTATAAAACCCTGTTTGAAAAAATGACACCTGCATTTGGAAGTTTTCAGGTAGGGAGACCCATACTTAAAGTGATAAAGGCAGCCTACCCCTCATCTCCACAGCTTTATGTGTGTAACTTATATATACAACTATATCATTATATATATAACTTATATAGTACAAGTCTGTCTTGGACTTCCTCTAAGGAAGGAGGAAAACCTCAGCTTTACAAGAAAGACCTCAGTACCTGGTGGGCCAGATCCTACAGTTCTTAAATGCTAAATCTTGCCACTGAAGCCAATGTAGAGCTGTGGAGGAGGCAAGACTACAAAAATTGTCCCTAAACTATCAATAAAAACTAACATAAATGTGGCACAAGGAAGAAGACTTGATCTGGAAACGATCGTTCAAGAAGGGGTAGATTGAATGCTATTGAGAGACAGGCAAGACTTGTCAGTGAGGAGCTGTAAAGTCTTAGGAGGAAATCTTGTCAAGACAAAGCTAAATAGAGTCATTGTGAAATGCTGTTTGCTTTTTTCTTGGCATATGAGCACTTTTTAACTGCTGTTCTACCAGAAATCAGCAAAAAGTACTTTAAGAGAGTGATAGGGTTGCCCATGAGTATGAAAGCGTAGGAACAGTCTTACCAGGTGGAATGCTAGGATGTGGCAAGTCCTGAATGAAATCAAGAATAAAAGCCCTTGAGCCACTGGGTGCTGGCCTGAATACACTAAATTATTTACAGAATTTTACTCTTTTTTATTTTAAAAATTTGAATACTTTGACACAGATAAAGGGGAGCAGGGAGAGAAAGAAGATATTTGAACAAGTTTCATTTTCATTGGTTTTGTTAAAAGCACCAATTAAGACCTCTATGCAAATAAACAAAGTACATTAAATAGGAGGAGCAACCTTTGTGGTAGAGGTGGCTAAAAAGCCCAAATTGTCTAGAGCCAGGAGAAAAGCCTTATTTGGTAAATATCAAAAGGGTCATATATCAGATATAATCAAGTTACTGTAGCCATCATGTTCATCAATTCTTTTTTTAGTCATAGACCCCAGTGATTTGTTTTTATTCCTGAAGTTAACAGTTCCAAAAACAAGAATTTAGACTGTCCTCTTACATTCACTTTTTCCCCAACCAGGTTTTGACAGTGCTTTCCAGATATTAAGTAAAAATGTCCTAGTCTAAAGAAAGAGTAAATCCAATTCTAAAATGTCTGAGACAAATGAGAATGAAAAATAAGATTTTAATGTTCACCTCCATAGAGAGATATGTTGGCTCAGATGTCAAGTACAAGTATTGTTTGCTGGTTATCCCTTTGATCTTCCAGGCTAGCAACCTGTTTTCAAAATGTTTTGTTGGCCCCTGAAGCAGTGTCATTGCTTTTGATATAATGATACTTCACACCAATTTGCTCAGAGTTTTTTGTTTTCTCTTTTTTTTTTTCTTTAAATATTCCATTTTCTCCACCTTTCCCTTACAAAGAAGCCTTATGAAGGATGAAACTATCAGCCTTTGAGAGTAACCTTATAGACTGATCTGACACTATTCTGCCAGAACGAGACTGGAAAGCCTGAAACCACTACACATTTCATCAGTGAGAGCTCTGCTAGGAATCATGGAATCATGAATTAATGTAGGTTGGGAAGTATCTCTGGGGGGTCTCATACTCCAACCTCTGCTTTAAGCAATTCAATCAGCTCAGAGCCTATCCAAGACACTCAGTGAATCGGGGATTTCAGCCCTGGAATTTGACAGGGAAGTATCTTTCCTCGTTCATTTGCCGAGTCTGTTCTAATTTTTCAGAGTGAGTGCTGACTATTGAAGTTGAGCGACTCTGGGATAGTGAAAAATACTCTGGAATCTTTTTTTTTTTTTTTCCTGTTAAAGCAGTCTTTATAAAATATGTGTCATGGTTTAGGTTGCTCTTTTTTTCTAACAGAGAAAACAAAGTAGAGCAAAGATCCACTCAGGGTGTCATTCTGTTCTGAAAGGTGACTAAAATAAAGCACCATGGGTTTCCATCTTCGATATGAGTGAAACACTATATATGTTTTTTAATTTAAGGTAAAAGAGCAATGATTATGTTGGAAAGAAACAAGAATCTTGTCTGCCAGACATGGATGTATAGAAATCCTAGTTCTATAAGCACATTTTTATACATAAATTCAGCAAATCCGATTTTGAAATGCGTGATACTGTAGCTTCTTAGAAGATTTTTCATATGCCAGTTTTCAAAGTAGAATCTCATTATAGAATTAGTGGAAAAATCCAGAATAAATAAGCTACATCAGCACCATAATATATGAAGTATACCTTGATCTGGAATACTCTGCCCAGTTCTGGACTCTGCATTACAAGAAAGCTACTGAGATACTGCAGCAAATCCAGAGGTGGGTCACCAAGAGGAGCAGGGGGCTGCAGTACAGGATGGACCGGAGAGGCTGAGAGCCACAGATTTGTTCAGCCTTAGAGAAGCGTAAGGGCAGATCTGACTGCTGTCAAACACAGTGAAGGATGAGAGGCAGGGAACACAAGTAGGAACGTGGGAAATCCTAAGGAAATAAATAGGGAGAAAATACCACAGAAGTGGTCAAATATTTGATCAGGATGCACGAGAGGTTGCAGAGCTTCCACCCTTGGGGATATTCAGAACTCAGAAACAGCCCTGAGCAACTAGCTCTGGTTGGACGTGCTCAGAGCAGGAGGCTGGCTGATACGGCCTCTGGAGACCTTCTCCTGCCTTCATGATACTCTCAGTGACTGCTTTGTTCCAAAATACTATCTAACTATTCACAAAAATCCACATTTGCCTATGCTTTTTCATTTAGGTATTGCAATTTTTTTTCCTCACTGTATAGTTCCATGGCTTTGGAAAACAGAATCTGGCATTTTTCTTTTTTTATAATGGCTTCCGTTTTGCAAATACATAAAATCCAGTATAAAGGAAATAAGGCAGAGCTTCTCCTTTCTAGAGCTCTCTGAAAACTGCTACTGACAACCTGCTACCCTCAACTTTTATCAAGTCAACTGTTCGTGTTCCTGATTCCAAAACAACCTGACAAGCTGGATTAGCCTTTCCTCTTGATTCTGCTTCTACTCATAGGTAGGAAACGGAAGATGTCTGTACAACTTTAGCAAGGAGATACAGGCCCAAGAAGGATCGAGCTATTACAGATTACTCAAGTCTTAAATGCACAATTTGAAATATTTGAAAGAAACAAATTTTCTCATTGTAAAAAGAGACTCCTGTAATGTGTCACTAATTATGCCCTTCCAAAGGGGAAAATTCCTACAAAATACAAGCTGTGGTTCTAAGACGCTTGCATATGAGCACATAAAACCTGAAGTCCAGAGACTGACCAAGTACACAGCATATGCACGTGAAAAATATCTCCCTTTAAAAACAGAAGAGCCTGAATTTGTTCAAAGTTCAAGACCTGCTACAGACAGGGCCTGAGAAATCTGGATTCTGATTAATATTCTAATTCCCCTTTTGTCTTTTTTTTTTTTTTTCTGTTTGGATCAAGATTTAGATGTAGGCCTACCTCTAGAAACAACAAAATAATGAGATATTCCAGAGTGATTTTTTTTTCTCCATGGGGCCCATATTCTGCCATATTTAAATTAAACGTTGCAAGACAAAAAATGACAACAGGAAGTAAATAAACAGTCTTGGTTGATTTTTTTGCCTTTTTATACAGAGGCTGGTACATAAACTGTCACTTAATAATTACATTGTGTAGGCTATTGCTAGCATACCTAAGGGAAGGTGTGTTCAGAGGTCAACAGAGGATATTTATGCACATTCATGGCCAATTAACATTGCAGTGGTGGGCTTGTATGCTACAGTAATGAAATTCTATGATTCTTTTTCCTTTTTTTTTTAATCTAATGCACTGACTGGATGCTCTACGGTTTCACATAGCTGAGGTTTCAGTTCTCATTAGATATCTGGCAGGATGGTCTATATATTCCAACACAAGTTGGATCCTAGGGCCCTCAATCCCCGTGGAAGAGCTGTATGGAATGGCCATAAAAAGTACGCAAATACAGAAGAAGAGAACTACAAGATTGTCAGCAAGCAGTGCTCTGTATTTTTTTCTTTCATATATATATATATTTATAGTATGTTTAGTTTAAAATCTTTGGAATAACTATTTTTTTTCCTTCCTTCATCCATCCCTTCCTTCCTTCTTCTCTCTCTCTCCTTCCCTCTCTTACTGTTATTATGAATGGTACACCATTGCCCCTAAAATACGGTGAAATTTTGGTCCATATTTTGTGCCATATGGGCCAGACATTGTATTCCCCCTGTCCCCGAAATCTTCAGTTGACAAGTCACAGTGTTTTGTGAAAACTGTGAGGAAAAACAGCATCTTTCAAGTAAATTCAATCTCTCACTGGAACCAAAGGTTGCAAAAAAGCTGAGAATTCAAGTGCCAAGGATCCCGGTGACAACTCTTCAACATCTATTGAGTTTCTTGTTTCTTTTCTTTTTTTTTTCTTTTCCCCCTCAAGAGTACAGTTTTACCTCCCAAAACATAAATTAAGGAAATATATAACAGTCAATGAGTCAAAACAGTCAAAGAAGGGTAGTTGGCTAGTACAGTATAAAAGAGCAGCAACCATTTGTGGACCACGCGCCATTTTGTTTCATTTCTTGACACATTTTGTAGGGATGGTCCCAGAATATACAAAATATACAACTTAATGATCACTCTGCCTGCTTGCATAGGCCATTTTCATGGTCTTAAATGCAGTCTTTGGAGACAGGGCCAATGCCAACTAGTTTTGAATGCAAGTTATGGCAAGATACTTTTTTTTTTCTTTAAAATGAAGACTTTAATCCACTCTGAGCCCCCAAAATCCAATTAGCAAAATGGCTGAAAGGCAAGCATGAGACCTCCACTTCTCCTTGATGGTAGGACAGTTGGCCAAAACAGACTTTAGGACTTTAGGACCAATCTAATGGAAAAGCCTCAGTGCTGTGTGTAAAATCCAACCCTTCATTCACCATTCACACTTTGTTACAAGTTTTCATACAGGAGTGGCCTAGAGCACCAACCTGATAAATGGAAAAGGAGGACTTCAATAATTTGTTTTAAATAAACTAATGCTGAATGAAGCCATTGTACTTGGAAGAGGTTCTTGCTTTCCCACTCAGGGACTGCAGTTTTTGGCTTTTTTTTGTGTGTAAGATGCTCAATAAGCATTAGGTTTAAATTAAAATGTCTGCAGGTGCTTTTTACACAAACAGAAGTCTAATGTTTTAAACTGGTTAATAGAAGAACAGCAAGAACAAGCAACATAATTCATCAAATAAGTCACTGTGGGTTGTGGCTAACATGCTCACATGATGTGGAAGGAATCCTGTAGTCATGCCTGTGTGGCCAGTCCCAGATATCCAGGTGAAGACAAGGAGTTCTGAAGATCACTTGTTCGTGGAGAAAAGAGAAAAAAAAACATTTACGCTTCCGAATAAGCTTTTAATGTTCTTGTTCAACAAATAAACAAGAAGTCCTAGCTACGGCAATAAGGTGATGCCTACAGAGATATTAGGTGCTGTTTCTCAGGGGCTTATGCCTTGGCCACTCAGCCATCACGCCAGCAGCTTCGAGAGTCCCTAGTGCATATGTTGTGCAATAGCCAAAACAAAAATTAAAATAAAAATAAATCAAGAAATATAAAGTCCTCCATGAAATCTACATACTCAGGCCAAAAGAGGATGTTTGTGTCACAAGTGTCACTCCACAGTCTACTGCCATTAAGGCCACTGGTATTGACTTAAAGGGATCTTAATAGCTCAGTTCTAGGAAGAACCTAAACCAAGACAAGTCAAAGTGTCTGTGAGAAGTCTGATGCATTGAACATTAGGAATTCTCAGACAAAGAAGAAATGAACCAAGAGGTTAGTTTTGGCTACCAAACTGGGATTTGGTTTTCTAGGTCATTGTTTTCCCCCTGTCTATTTAAAAAGAAAAGTTAGTGCTACAAATATGCGACTTGAAGACAAGATATTCTCTTATTGAGTTGCACTGAGAAGCAAGTTAAATAAGCCCCTCCTACTGCTGTCCACCTGCAGGGAAGCCTCCTCCATTTGCTTTCATTTCCATTGGCAAAAAACAGAAACAAATCCAAGAGAGCCGAAGTACTGCAAGCAACTGTTCCTTCTTACTGACTTCTATCCCACTTCCTCGCCTGCATCTTCTCCCATCCAGCTGGGGCAAGGCATAAAGAACAGATGCAGGTATTGAAGTATAGTTGGGTGCATGACAGTGTGAGCGTGTAGCCTCTGTACAGAGCGTTACATGTGAACAAGTTCTCTTCTCCTGCCAGGCAGTGGGTTGTATCTTGAGTTCCACTCTCATCTCATAACACTTAGCTCAGATGACATCCACGCCAAGCGGACTGATGTTTAGATGTGTCTCTTCATGTGGAGGGCAAGGTGATCAGACCTGGAAAAACACCTGCAAAATAATCCAAGGGGGAAACGAAATAAATATGAGATTTGGCAAAAAGAGGGTGCCTGCTCCTCCCTCCTTACATACTGCAGGAAATATTTATCCCAGATTAGAGATATTCTTTAGATTATCCATGTATGGCCACCAAACCATGCATGATTCACCTCTGTGACCCTACATGGCCAATTACCTGGGCTCTTCAGCAGCTGGGTCAATAAATAAACTGTTCTTCTTTTGCTGCTCCTCTCCCCCCGTTTTCTTGCATCAAGTCAAACATCTGGCAAGGGTGCTCAGTCATGCACCCATAGTAATAAAACCAAGTATTTATAATAAGTGAATGTTTGTGTGTGTATGTATGTATGCATATTATACATATATATGTGTGTGTATATATATATAAAGTAAAACATAAAAAGTCATTTTCACTCAGTCAAAAAACACATCAGCTTTTAGAAGTATGTGAAAGAGGCACCAAAGAAAGAAGTCAGACTTGGAGCTGAATTCCCATATCTAATTCCTAATTGGAAGGAAAGCTGGTTGGGGCTGCATCTCTCCCTTTTTCTCTGCAGAGAATCTCAGTGGTAATATGTGGGTGTTGATCAACGCTATCTTCCTGAGTAATGCTGAGAGGAGATAAGGTCTAATCCCTGTTTTTAAGGGTGAAAATTGAGACATGGAGAAGGCAAGAAAACCTGGGAAACTGCTACAGATCATACAAGAAGTCTAGTAAAACCAGAAATAAATCCCAGCATTTTGACTCTCAAGTTTGGGATTTTGTTTTTTTGTTTTTTAATCTACAAAGCCCTTTCTTCTCCACCTCCTTACAAAACACAGTATTTTGACATTCCAAAAAGGTAGATAGATGCTAATGAGATGGACCCAGAATGGCAACTCTGGAGAATTAGCACAGCTGTTGACTTTTAGGGCTGGTCTAAATACGCAGTTAATTTGGGATAAGATAGGGTATGAATTCAAAATGCAACATCTATTCTTGATGAACTCCCTTTCTAAAGGCTGCCTTCTGAAATAATATAATCCACTTGAGAAGGGGGTTAGAAATCCAGAATAAAAGCACTTATTGCAGGAGAACAACCCCACAAAGCTATAACCTGGAATTGATGTTTGAGAACAGCTCCGACATAGCAAACGTGCTGTAGGGCACTCTCAGCACCAGGAGCAGCAGCCTAAACTTCAGCACTTCACCGAGATAGCATCAGTGTGATGAGAAGACAAATGCTCTTCTGTTTCAAGTGCATTTTGCTTTCTTCCCACCCTAACCCATAACAAAGTGGCTCACCTACTTTGCAACAGCAAAACCCACCTATTTTAAGTATCCCATAAAAAGATCTGATCTATGGCTTTTAGTAAACTGTATTTTTTGGCTCTGAGGGCACCATGACAAGCTACTTCCAAAACTATCTTGCTTTGAGCATCATTTCGCTGCCCCAGATTTAGAGTATAAAAGAGCCAATAATGCACCTTAGAAAACGAACAGTTTCTTGTGAGAATGTGAATAGCTCACATCCATACTGCACTAAATGGACTTCCAAAAAAAGTTGAATTTTTTTTTTCCTGAAAAAACACAAAATAAAGATATTTCAACTACTGAGTTAAAAAGGCAGGAAGTACACTTAACCTAAAGGAAACATCCAGGGGACAACCACCATGAGCAGAGAAAGGCTGAGGAACTATAAAAATGAAAAGCTTTTAAATTGTTAAGGGACCTTGTCTGTCCCTGTGGCACAGGCACACTATATGCAAAGATGGGGATCAAGATCTATATTTTTAAGACAAAGAAATCTCCTAAGAAGGCAGCTTTGACAAGAAAAGCAAAATACTCAGCTGCTGCGGCTGAGGACAGCACTGCCTGATCAGCAATCATCTATTGATCTGTAGCAGCTTAGAGGCGGTCAATACCTTTGTATAAGGCACAGTGGGGCAAAAATCAACAAGAAACCCTTGCCAAAGGAATGGAGGCTGCTTCCCACAGGCTCACAAGCCAACCGGGGAGCTGACAGGAGCGCTCAGCCCTCAGCGCGGCAGGCTCCGCGCAGCTAGAACTTGCTAGCCCTAGGGTGCCAAAGCACATCCTCGAACCACCATCCCTCTTGTCAGGCTGCACTTAGAAGGCAGCTCTGGCTGTGAGGGCTGCCAAAACAAAACAACAGCCTGAGCGGCTGCCAAAAAGACAAGCACCAGCTGGCGTTTCAGTCTAGGATGAGCTGGAGGACCAGCACCCAAGCACGGCCCTTCCCCTCTGCTCGTCTCGGTTACAAATGCAACCCAGGAAAACTGTGCTGAGTCACAACACAGCACGATCTGTTAAAAATAGGGACTCAAGACATTGTTTCACATCAAGGATCACAGTATTAGTATCTAGTATCCTCTTCAGCTCTAGTATATTTTATCGCTCTCAAAACGGTACATTAGTAATTCCTCAAGTTTTCCTGCGGACTAATTTGGTTAGTTCTATCTAGTGGTGAGGCTGCTGGATGGGGACATTTAATTTCAGCAGTAAAAACATCCCTACCAAATGCTGCAGCTAAATCATGCTGATAGAAATAAAACAAAGATATTGATCAATGGACACATTTTTCCCTTCTGGAACTGCTGTCAGCAGAAGGCCTCGAAGGTGAAGGTGACAAGAGAAATTCCCTTCTCCACAAATCACGCAGTTTACGAATGTCCCTGGTCTTGCTCATGAAACAAGATGATGCTCTGCAACTCTTGCAGTTCCCACGCAGCTCTGCCCGTCTGCATGAGGCCCATGACAGTCCTCCCCATCGTCCCTCCCCCAGTGCAGCCCTTCTGAGCAGTTTACGCCAGATTGAGATGCCCTAATTCTGGAAGTCATGCAACGGAGCACGAACTGCTTCCCCTCTCCTTTTGCTCTGTTTCTGTAGCAACACGGCACTGATCAGCACCAACCCTACCCAAAAACTGACTCAAAGGGAACTGCACGCGACCCACGTGCACAGCACCCCTTTTTTTTTTTACTATTTTTAGCTCCACTTTCACGTTCTGATTGCCAAGGTATGGCCTTCTCTGCTGAACAGCAATATTGCTGTTCACTGCTATGTCAGCATTGCTAAACGCAGCTCCTACGGGCTCCTTAATGCTCAGCAAGCCGGGATGTCCAAGGGAGCAACCACAGCCCCTGGCACTAATGGCAGCTGCAGAAAAGGGCAGCAGTTCAGATATGAAGAAACTGTTTTCCAGCTGGGACCAACTCAGGAATGTCTTTAACATTAAATATCTGCTTGAATGTTTTCCTGGGCAGGGACACACTTAGACATGTGTTTCTGTGCTTGCCGGAAGTGGCACCTGCAATAGGAGGTAACAGAAATATCTGTGAATCAGAAAAGGATGAAAAATAGCGGAATGGCAGCGTGAGCCAAAACTAAAACCAACCAACAAAAGGACGACCAGATACAGTCACTTCACTAGCTTGCAACAGCCAACTGGGTGAGGAACAACAAATCTGACTCCCAGCACCACATGGGCTGAGCGTGGAATTTAACAGTGGCCAACCCCAGCACTCCTGACATCCATAAATATTTTTCCTTCACCCACAGATTTCTGCAAAAGAGCAGAAAATGCATTAGCTGGTTGAAGGTAGCCACCTCTGCTGCAGGGACTGGAGTTGGCTGACACAGAAAACACCCAGACAGGCGTAACACGGAGTGGGAAAACCAACACTTCATGAAGGCGACTGAGGACTTGAAAATATTGACTGTATTTCTTTCAATCTCTGCTAAAAACGCTGTCTGTCCTGACATTTTTGCATTGCCTGTGTGTGTAGACTAGGGTGGTTAGCTCACTCTCTGGAGGAAAAAACAGTAAGACACTGCCTTACATATAAAATGAGAACACAAACCTTCTCCTTCACAGAGGTGCCTATACAAAAGCAAACTCCAGAGGTCTCTACACAGCTTATCCTGTCCCTCATTTTGAGCAAACAAAGGATAATCCAGGGATAAAACAAAAGAAAATTGCAGAGGAAGCCTAAGGGAAGGGGAAAAGGAAGAGGGGAGACAAAGGGAGAAGAAAGCTCAAGGAGATGAAGCTCTTGGAAAGACAGGATGTGAAAATGATCGAATTTCCTTCCCATAAAAGGATGGGGTCCCTTGTTTATGTCCCACACATCCTCTTTCCATGCCGGTCCTTGGAGGGTTTGGTACACCCAGCGGCTTCTTAGAGCCTTTATTGTGTTACAAAATGTTTGCTTATCAGAGCAGAGAACCTTAATGCTGCATTAAAAAAAAATGGGTAATTTTCTTAAGCCTCTTTAAAAAATATATAAATAGGATTAGCTGGATAACATGCTCAGATGCAAGCACATTATTCGATTACCCAGTACTGGATCCAGGTTTTACCCGGGGCACTGCCAGGCTCCAGCTGAGGGTGCAAGGGGGGAAAGGGCTCCGTGTTGGGGGCTGTCAGGAGTCATTACAGGGGTAATTGCTTTTGTTCCACCCTACCCTATTATCAGTTGGGATTGGGGGGAGGGTTTTCTCCTTGTGGTTTTGTTTCTAGACTCAAAAGAGCCCAGCTTTCAGCACCCAGCAAGGATGACCAGATTTTTTCAGACAAGCTCATCATTAATTCAGCAGCAACATAAAGTGGTGAGGGCTGCAAAAAGGTATTGGCAGCGGGCAGCAGCTCCCACTGCTCCCCCCGAGAGCTGCTGGGTGCCCAGTTTCTGCAGGCCCCTCATTTTCCAGTGACCAAAGGAGGACTGTTGCATGACAGGCTCTTCAGGAAGCCCTGCTCTGGACATCTATCATGCTTTAAAATCTCAGCCTGCGCAAAATAAAGCTGCGGAGTATTTCCCAGGTAAAGAAATGTCAAGGGTGAGATTTAAAGCTGGAGAAGACTCACTCGTTAGTGGGAGTGCGCAGGGATCTTACATAAAGCAATCCCACAAAGTTGAGGTGTCAGAGATGCCTAAATAACACCTGGGCTTTTGCAAATGAGGCTGTTTGCTGCCCTGTGGTGACTCTCCAGTTTCACCTGGGGACAGGAGGAGGGAGCCCTGTGGGCAGGGAGACAGGCCTCTGGTCTCAGGGAGTCAGCAGCTCCATGCCGTGCCCAGTGACTGCATTTCATGAGAATGCTACGTTAGGAGGCCGCATTACCTGTCGCAATGGTTGCATTTAAAGGGCTTTGCACCCGTGTGCTTTCTGTAATGCCTCGTGAGCTCGTCACTCCGTGCAAAACGCCACTCGCACCCTTCCCACGAGCACTTGTAAGGCTTCTCACCTGCAGAGGGGAGGAGAGAACAGTCAGCGTGGCAGCAGGGTTACTGAGCACCAACACGGTCAAGCTCGGCGTCCTCCCCCCTCCTCTCCATCCCGCTTGGGCAGGTGAGCCCACCCTCAGCTGCACAGTCCACAGCCAGGGACTCCCCTGTGGGCTTCTTCTCTTGCCCTGCTTAAAGCTGACGTTCTGTCAGCCTTGGGGCTCCTTTTGTTGCCTCCCAAAACAAAAACTGCTCTTAGGCTTAAGAAATAATTTTAAGTCAGCTGGTCCTTTAGGCTTCTTGCACTCCACCATTATCAGTTGTTCTTCTACCCCAAACTATTAACTGTATGGCTGAAGACAGTGAAATGGTGCAGTGAGGAGACAGGAGAGATGCCGCTCTGCTCACAGTTACCTACTTTCCAGCACATAGCAATCCCTGCGGTTCAAAGTCTGCCATGGTACATCATCATCTTCCCCCATAACAAACACTCAAGTGCTGCTTCTCCCACATAAGATCGATGTCAGTATTCCCCGTGCGGCGAGCACAGCACGGATACATTAGAGGAGGAGGGGGTTGAGTGAAAGTGTGGACAAGAAGGCACTTTCACTACCGAGCCTCTTAGCTGGGAATTATAAACAAAGACAGGATTATTACTGATCTATTTGTGCTTAACATTGCTAAGAAGGTGATCTTACAGAAACCATCACTGCCCATACGGAAGTTGCAATCTATACGACCTCCCCATGGCAAAGTCACATGCAACAGTTGCTTGGCTAAAGTAGACTGAAATCCCTCTGTGCAGAGAAGGAGACTTCTATATTTAACTTGTCTACTCAGCAGGTAGAGAGATCTCATTATGGGAGATCTCAGTATTTCAGAGTGACAAAATGTAGAGGCTAAAAGAGCAAGAGAGATGAAGAGGGCTCCAGAACTGCACCAAAACACCCGGGGAAAGCTGTTCCCTGGCAAGTTCATTGCTGCAGATGCCTGAGCCACGCACAGCTCTGCTGCAGCAAGCCAGTGGGCTGCAACACTAACTGCAGCTAAGCCACTTCAGCCCTTCAGCCTCTGTGAAGCCTGTCTGGCTCGGTAACTGAATTACAGAATCCACTGGGATGAGCAGCAGCAGGCATGACCATGCCAAAATATCGATTTGTGCCTCAGGCCCTGAATGCGGATGGCCAGCCTGGATGTCTCCCTGCTGCACAGCAATCCACCCCACGGACATGCCCAGCAAGAGCAGGGGCTGAGCCAACAAAAACACCATCCCCCTTACACTGTGCCTGCCTGGTCACCTCTGCAGACTGCTTTTATTTATTTATCTATTTGTTTTTCATTATTAAAAGATTTTTTTCAAGAAAAAAAAAAGAAAAAGCTTCTTGTTAGTGAGCCAAGCGCTGGTGTTTCTGTAGTAGTTCCTCAGCTGTGCCTCAAGCACGGTCATCAGCACTGGCCCCTCAAACCAGGCTGCAGCTGGCACATGACATTTGCTCTCCCCTTGTCAGAGAACAGGGGTTTTCCCAGGCCTGGCCCTGCCTGCCACGATGCAGCGGTTCTGTGTGAGGAGTTTGTTGATTATTTCCAAAAGCTGTCAGTAGAGAAGCCTGGAGGAGAGGCCGGCTCCCTCGCTTCTCTGGCCTCACCTCGGAGCAGAGGTGATGAGGGGCCAGTGCGAGGGCTGCAGGCGCCTACGGAGCCGCGGGCGAGGGACAAACCCCCTGCGCTCTCCGAGGATCCCAGGGCTCCTAGGACTGAGGCAGCGTTTGGCTTGTTAACATTTGCCAACAGCTTTGCAAACGTGCAGCGCTACAAACAGGTTACGAGAGACAGGAATGACTCATCCCTGAGACCCCCAAAAGGTTCAATCTCCCGCTCAGACACGTGAAGGACGTAAAGAGAGGGATTTCCACGTCTCCACACACGAGGACTAAGAACAAACTGCTTCGTTAGCGGCTGTTTCCGCCTTGCCATGGATGCGTTTTCCGCTGGGGTGCCTGAGCGTGGGCACAGCGATGTGGGAAGGGTCACCCGCACGTGCCAGGCTGCTCCTCCCTCGCTGTGGAGGATTAGCAAGAAGCAAAGGCTGCCTGGTGAAATCCTCCTCTGCTGAAGGCGATGGCAGAGCTCCCGCTCGCTTCTGCAGGGCCAGGATTTCCCCCGTTTTAACAAATCAATTAGAAGCTTCAAAATTCAATTAAAAATAGGCATATCACAGAGCTGTGCCACACCAAGGCTTTTTTCAGTCTCTAATTCCACAAAATTAATAACTGCACTTAAAACTGTGCCCATGAGTCACTCTTGGGAAGGGGGCTCTGCTCCTTAAGTCACCTTTACTCCGCACCACCAAAACCTGCGTGGTACGCAAGGAAATCCATGATCCACATTCCTACAAAGGCGCTCAAGGGAACATCCAGACATGGAGAAAGAAGCCGCCATCCAGAGGGGCAGACACGAAACGCTCAGTTGCCCCAGTTCAGAACGTGCCCCTGCATCAAGTTTTGCAGTTTTCTGACATAAGGGCTAATGTCAACATACTGTATGTTCACAGAAAACCTTGTAGGATGGACCCAGAATAGCAGCTTTCAGGTTTAATTTCATTTTTTCCCCTGGGAGGTGGAGACCCTTCTCTCCACCTTTGCAAACTGACAAGATATATGCAGGACTGAAGCCAAAAATTGTGGCACAGCAAAAAACCTGCGAGACCTTGGTATCCCTGAAATCAGGCCACTGTTCCTTTGGTGATGACAACAAATGCAAAACCCTAAACATTAGGCAAATAGTTATAAACGAAGCCCCAAATGCATCACTTGAAAACACGAAAGAGCCAAGCACACAACCCCAGCAACACCAGCATGGGTGTAATTATACCATGGAGGTTCATGGCAGAGATCAACCTAGGACATGGTCATCATCACGACGACAGCACACCATGAAGGAAGGCAAGGATTTTATACGGCTCGTATTTACAGGATCTATTGCCAAACCCAAGGGTTAACCATTCAGGAGGTCAGTCTCCCATAAAAATAATGAGATTTTAAATGAAAAAAGAAAACTGTAATATTTAGAGATCGTTTGGCTTTTGTTTCAGAGATAACAAGGTCATGGTTTTAAACTGCTCTTTGCTGTCCTGTAAATGAAAAACACCCATTTAAAAAGAAAGCAGAAGGCAGTATTTTCCCGCCTGTCTTGGATTTCAAAAGTAGGGACTTTTAACAAGAAAGTCCTTCAAATTTGGGGACCTACACAGTAAGATCAAACAAGCTGGCAATGCTGCTGGATGAAATCCTGACTCCACTGAAGTCGCTGGCAAAATGCCCATTACAGCTTGAGTTCCACCCTTTATCTTTACAGAATTAAAGTAAACAAACATATTATGATGATCCATGTGAAACTATTTCCCTGGCCCTCCCCTGCACCCTTCCTTGAGCAGCACAGCACGAGCATGTGTCGATTGCAGTGGCTTAGGGAAACAACCAGGAGTGTAAGATCCCAGTCCTACAATGAACTTCCAGAAGACAGACCAGCCCTATACAGTTCAGTGGAGAATCCCAGTCAAGAACCTCTCTCAGAGCTAAAACATGGTAGAGTGGAGAGCCCCTTTGTCAGCATGACTGGTTTAGCCAAAAAAAATCTTAAAGAAAGGCAGGAACAAAACCAAATCTTCTCTTGATGCACATTTTGAAGGCCATTAAAGTAAGAAATTAGTTATATTACACTTTAATAGCTCCTTAATATCATGTATGTGATTACAGAAAAAGAGTAGGCAAGAGTTTGCCCTTGCAAAACATCATCAATCTCCTCTTAAAAATCACGATGTGTTCTAATCTGTGCTGGGTTATTTGCATACAGTTTCTGTTTTTATGAAAAAAACCACAAAACATTTCCTTCAGTTTTAGAAATCTGTGATTAAAACGTTATTCAGAACGAAACTAGTTCTAAAAGCCTCAAAGCCTAAAAATATGCACTGAAAGGCTTCAGAGGCGCTCGTTGCAGTAGCAGAGTTCTTAGAGAACTTGAAAAAAACGCAGACTGGAACTTGCACCAGAGAAGGGAATTAAATGCCAAATTTATTTCTCAGATTTCTCCCCTAAGAAAGCTCAGGTGGATCAAGTTGTGCAGAGATGTATGAAGAAAACAGTCCCGCTGGCTTTTTAGGAGGGCGTTTTAATAATTCTCCGCAGCACCCTGTGTGAGGAACTGTGTGTGAGGTCCCCAGGACACTCTCGGTGCAGTGGGACGTCGCTGGGAAATGCCAGCAGCGGCCAGGGGCTTTGGCAAGCAGCAGCCCCCGCGCAGCGCTGCACAGGAACGCGGGGTAGGCGCGTGTCCCCGCTCGGCCATTCGCTGCAAGAAGCTGCCACCACACAACGGGAAGCCTCATGCGGAATGTCACATTAGCAATATTTTATATTTATGTGGCGCTCTTCATCTCCAAGGGTCCCCCAGAGCTTTACGAGCTGCATCCACGGCATGCCAAAGAAGCCGAGCCATAATTCTTCTAATTAGTTGAGCATCAGCATGTGCCGCATGGCGCAACAGAAGGTGCTGCTGGTCACTCTGCTCTTTCAGTGAAAACTGCTCTTTGATATTTAACGGGAAGCTGTTATTTGGGATTTAATAGGAACGTTGCAGAAGGAAATTCAGTTTTAAGCACCCTCGCTGTCATACTGATTTCACCACATTTAAGCGCCCATCACGTGGCTCTCATGGCTGCTTCACGGGTAGTTTTGCAGGGCAGCTAGCGAGCAGCTGCAGTTGGGCCAACATCATCTTCAGCCTCCTTTTAAGATTAATATTAACTCCATTCCTTTGGCAAAAAGGAAGAACAGGCTGCTTAATGCACAGAACCTCTGGAGGTCAATGCTGCCATCTAAGCATATATGTGTGCAACCCATCAAGCAGTAAAACTAATTATAAAAATCAATTTCAGATACTTTTATGAGCCTTTCATTCCTGAATATACTCCTAATTGATTTTTGTTGGAGAAATAGAAAGCATAATTATTATCTTTTATTAT